TTTGTATTATCTAATACTAATACTTTCCTTACATTTCACCGATTGTGTTAGATTCCCAGACGGCCAAACCACACAAACGGTCTTGTGTCTCTTGAGCTGCAGATTTCCATAGGCGGCGATAGTCACTTACCATCATGAAAAACTGTCTGCTTGTATGCCTCCAATATTATACAAAAATAATACTCAAGCATAGACTGCTAAAAATACTTCATTATCTTTAGTATCTTTTTATTAGTTCATTAAATCATATATACCTACTAGGTTTATCGTTTAATGTAGGTACGTTATCGAGCTGATATGCAGTAATATTACCAGATAATTAGTAAATAACAAGCAAATGTTAAGTGATTGTCAAAGAATTTCACGTAAAAACCATATTTACAGTCAGCAAAAGAAAATTATTGTTACAAAACTTGTCGTCACAATATTAAACAAATCGGGGCGTGTATCACACCGACTGATAATTGTTCTATCTAAGTATATGATTTTTGAATTGTTTTATGTAATAATGTATTTAAAGGCCTGATCTTCTAGTAGTTAGTGATTCTGACCGCTAAACCCGAGGGTTCGATGTGAATAATTGTGTGGTGACCATGAACATTTGTTCTGTGACTCTGCTATTTCATGGCTCTGTTATTTAATGGGCCCCGTCGTGGTCCACCCCCTGGCACCTCAATCGTGGTCAACTCGGTCCTCGTACCGATTTTTCCCAGTACTAGTAGTATAAGACGATGTTACTTGCCAAAATTGCAGAGTTATAGGTCAACTGGAAGTACCCTACGAATTTTAATTCCCTTGAGAGTGTCGAAATATGCGTTTTTTGCGGCATAAAGGGGAGTTTCTCTGGTGGTCGGGCGCATTGAGACGATGGGCTTACGGGTGGCCCTGGATAAGACGAAGGCCCTATTATTCCATGGGCCCCGTCGTGGTCCTCCCCCCGGCGCCACAATCATGGTCAACTCGGTCCTCGTACCGGTTCAGGCCCAAATGAAATATCTGGGCCTCATCCTCGACGGGAGGTGGCTCTTCGACGAGCACTTCCGACAGCTTGCTCCAAAGCTGGTCGGCGCTGCGTCTGCCCTAGGGCGACTTTTGCCCAATTTGGGTGGACCCAGCGTCGCGACAAGACGGCTGTACACGGGGGTTGTCCGGTCAATGGCACTATACGGTGCACCGGTGTGGGCGGCGGCTCTGACCGCCCAGAATAGGGCACGCCTCTGGCGCCATCAGAGGGTAATGGCGGTCAGAGCCATACGCGGTTACCGCACCGTTTCGACGGAGGTGGCGTGCGCGTTGGCCGGAACTCCCCCGTGGGATTTGGAGGCGGAAGTGCTCGCCGAAGTTTATCGGCGAGTGGCTGACTCCCGGGCGGAGAGCGGATTTCGCCCTCCGCCCAAAGACGTACGCGAGTGGCGCGAAGCCGCTCACCGAGCCACGGTGGCTCGTTGGTCGTTCCGGCTGGAGACTCCACGCGCTGGCTTCGCCGCCGGCTCTCCAGCCGGTCATCGCCGAGTGGGCAGGGCGGCAGCACGGGACCCTTACCTTCCGGCTGACGCAGGTGCTTTCCGGGCACGGTTGCTTCGGAAAGTACCTGCACTCGGTCGCTAGGAGGGAACTGAGTGCCGCCTGCCACCACTGCGACTGCAGTGAGGACTCGGCCCAGCACACGCTGGCGGTCTGCCCCGCATGGGCGACGCAGCGCCGGGCCCTCACTGCAGTCATCGGAGTGGATCTTTCGCTACCGGCCGTAGTAGGCTCCATGGCCGGTAGCGACAGTTGTTTTACCGCGGTCGCAACCTTCTGCGAGGAAGTAATCTGGCAGAAGGAGGCGGCGGAGAAGGCCCGGGAGGACCTCCACTCGGACCCGATCCGCCGCCGGCGAACCGGGCAGCGGAGGCGCGCTTATCACCGCCTCATGCCGCCCTGAGTGTGGCTGCGGGTGGACGGGGTGGGTTTCCCCTCCACCCGCATTAGTTTGGCCAGCCGCGAGGGGGCGACGTCCGCGTGTACCGGACGTCGCCTAAAGAGAGGAAAATTTTGAGACGGAGCCCGCAACAGGAGCGGGCCGGCGCTAGGAGGGGTCCAGATGTCTTAATAACAGCTGTTCCCGGATCCCTCCTATTACAGGCGCAGAGTGGCACACCGTGTGGTTTTAGTCGGTCCGAGTCCGACACACCACCCCGCCGCAAACCCCGGTGGGGTGACGGTCCGAGGGGATTTCCACACGTTAAAAAAAAAAAAAAAAGGTAATTATTAGGAGATAGACATATACCATAGCGGACTTTTTTTTAGATCTTTTTAAGATATACAATTCAGTACATTATTTTTGGTATCTTGTAAAGTTTTTCAAACTTCAAAAATTTATCTTATCCTTGAAATTCTCCGATTTTCTCTATTATAATATGCATGTATTATACATATAAACCTTCCTCTTAAAGCACTCTCTTTATTGGTGAAAACTGCATTCAAATCCGTTGCTTAGTTTAAAAGGTCTAAGGGAAGAAGTACTTAAAAGACTTTTACTTATTTTTATACTATGTAAAGATGTCTGTATTAGAAATATACATATAAGTATGTTTATCAGCGATCTGTTACAATAGTACAGGCTTTGCCTAGTTTGGAATCAGACGGCCGTGTGTGAAATGAGTCAAGTTATTATTATGGTAAGAATGACTTCAATATTCTATGAGTACGTTATAGGGTTTTGTTGTATAATAAAATTATTCATAACATTCATTATGTTTTATCCTTGTTTCTTTATTACATAACTTCAGTTAAGTTCTTACATTGTGCCGTGTTTGCGGTTTTAACGTTTTGATATCATTCGATAAAGAAACCTCTTGCACTTCCTTTTGTACTGTCAGGTCAGGACAGGACAGGGCTCACTGAACCGACAGTGTGTAAGTACACCTATATGTGCCACAGATCACACTGATTACACAGATGACTGCGCAAGTCAATCATCAATTAATTGCTTATAGATTAGTAGTCTGAAAATTTATACACGAGATTTATAATTGATTTTACTTTCATTTCAAACAAAAATAAAATTGATACGTAGTTATTTTTTCTTCCAAAAGGTCAGTACATTGCAACTTTAATATTTTTTTTATCATTTTGAGTCCTCAGTAGTAAGTTCTGTCCTCCGTCTGGTCGTTAGTAAGTAAGTCATCACTCATTTAAAAATAAAAGGTTAAAATCAAAGGGGAATTGGGTTTTTGGGCTGCTGTAACCTCTTACAGCAGCCCAAAACCCTTTTTCTCTATATATTTATGGCTGCTGAATAGTTTAATATTGTGTAAATTTCAAGTATATTTCCAAGAATCCGTATCCTAACTAACATTATTAATGGAAAAGTGTTTATGTTTGTTTATTATGCTGTCACGCCTTAACTAAACAAATAACTGACATCCACATCGTCAGGGGTACAGGAAAAGAAGTGTTTTATCCCGGCAAAAAAAAAATTGTTGCCGAGAGAGAAAACTTCAAAGCAAGTGAAACCACGGACAAAAGTTGGTAATAGAAATTCAATCGGGTTATTTTAACACAAGTTGTTATGAATGTTAAATATAAGCTTCCAACGACCAGTTAAGTAACGCTATGTAATTCCGTGATGTTGAAATACTTACTTGAAGCGATAAACAAGACGTTAATAGAATGTTTTGTTCCATTCACTTATTATAGGTACCTACTTCATGAATTATCATATCATATAATATCTAAATAACATTAAAACTCTTTAATGTGATTTAAAAATAAAGTTATAAGTAGGTAAGGACACTTGAACTTGTCTAAACAAGTGAAATGGGCAAATAAGACCTTTTTACCTTTAATAGCACACGAAATAGAATGTTAAATAGTAGTAGTCTTTTGTAGTAATTCAGTTTTATATGGTATTGGGGGCAAACAAAACGACGGGTCATCGGATGGTAAGTGACCAGCGCCGCTCCAGCAAAAAACATGCGACTCAAGAGACACAAACGTGTTGATACTCTTGAGCATGCCTCTCACGTAGATTTAGAGGTGGCTGAGAAGGAATGATTGATTACTTTGTATCTACTCTGTTTTTCTGGTTTTTTGTGATGCCGTCAGGTCTCTGTGACTCCGGCCCCTACGTACCGCAACATGATTTACGTAACATAAGCTTAGATGAAATGATACTACTCTACTACTTTTAGATACACATCCATATTAATATTATAAATGCGAAAGTGTGTCTGTCTATCTGCCTGTCTGTCTGTCTGTTACCTTATCACACTTAAACCGCTGAACCAATTTAGATGACATTTGGTATGGAGATAGTTTGAGTCCCGAAAAAGGACAAAAGATAGTTTTGATTTTAGAAATCATATTTTGAATTGGTGAAAAGGGGGGTGCAAGTTTATGGTTAATGTATAACCGCTGTACCGATTCAGATGAAATGCTATGGAGAAAGCTCGTTGAATATATACTGGTTACATATAGTCACATGACTTATATTTTATAGAGAATTTATACACGTGCTCATACACTACAACACCCTACAAAATAACTTGAGCTAATTACATTTAATTAACTTAATCCAAAGTACCTTCTAATCGTTAAACAATCGCTTCACTTTATTATTTTTTTACATTATTTAAGTGAATGTTTAATAAACACTGAACAAATAAAATTATCGTTTACGTTACGGTGTCACAGAATCCTGTTTTGTTCTGAATGATGATGAAACACGTTTATTGAGTCATTTAAGCGGACACAGCTAGTCTAGCTTAACGTTCTAAGGCAAGTAGTTCAATAATATAATATAATCAATGAACTGTACAGAAATATACCGATAAAAACTCATGTGTCAAAATTAAAGTGGTCAAGTAAAAAAAAGTAATGAAATGGCGCGTATTCTGTTTATTTTTTGTTTAATCGCGTTGTGCAAAGGTAACACATCAAACGGACTCACGCTAGAGCAAGTGCTAATATTAAGTCGTCATAATATTCGGACACCTCTGGTTACAAACTTGGATATGTATTCGCCTAATAAATGGCCGAAATTTAAGGATTCTGATGCTAAATTAACTGCAAAAGGTGTATTGATGGAAAGTTATATGGGCGAATACTTTGCAGAATGGTTGGCGAATGAAGACTTTATAAGAGGCTGTCCAAAGCAAGAGGAAGTGCATATTTACGCTAACACAAAATCTCGGACGAGGGCCACAGCGAAATCGTTTGCGGATGCTGCGTTTCCATCGTGCAATATCTCCGCCTATCACAAGAAAAATATAGATATCTTCGATCCAGTTTTCCATCCGGTGTTTCAAAATAGTTCAGATAGCTTTATACGACAAATTAAAAATGAAATGGAAAATACACTAAAGGAAGTCGATTTAACAGAATCGTATTTAGAAATCAACAGAATATTAGATATAAAAAATTCAGATGTATGCAAACAAAAAAAGATTTGTGATCTTAACAAAAATAAAACGCAAATCGTTTATGAAGAAGGTGAAGAGCCTGATGTGGAGGGTCCTTTACTAATTGGAAATCGGGTTATTGATGCTTTTATAATGAGTTTTTATGAAGGATTTCCCCTTGAAAATGTTGCTTGGGGCAAAATAAGGACTGAAGATCAATGGGAAGTATTAACGAGGATTATCAAGCACAATTTAAACGTACGCTTTGGCGCCTTAGCATCGAAGGACATTGGTAAACCACTGCTTAAATACATGTTCAATATATTTAGAAGTGGGAATCCTAGGTTTACAATGCTGGTGGGACACGATTCAAATTTCTGTGTAATTTTAAAAGCTTTAGATTTTAAATACTTTAATGTTAAAAATCAGTACGAACCGTATCCGATTGGCGGGAAACTCATGTTCCAAAAGTGGTCTAATGGCGTTGACAGTTTTTTGAAAGTAGAATTTGTGTATCCCACCTTTTCACAGTTGAGGAATAGTGAAAAATTGTCTTTGGCACACCCACCGCAAAAAGTGTTACTCGAATTAAAAGACTGCAAAATTAATGAAAGGGGATTTTGTCCATGGGAAGATTTTATTCAATTGTATTTTTAGTATTGCCCACGTTATACAATAATTTGCTCACCTCGTACAGTTTTCTTAAGCGTGAAAGATTGAAGGATGTTTTATTTATCTGAATAAAAAAAAAAACTAAAGGTCTTCTAAACTGTAGTTGTTTCTTTTTATTTACAACATCGTACTAGATTTCAGAGCAGGGTATACCTTTCTTGTTTTTTCGATCTAGGGATCAGCCCCGGCTTCGCACGGTTGCAATCATACTACTAATGGGGGTCAGTGTGGAGCAATTAACTATAATATTATTATGATAGGACTACACTACAGGATATCTTTATATCTATACTAATATTATAAAGCTGAAGAGTTTGTTTGATTGTTTGTTTGTTTGTTTGAACGCGCTAATCTCAGGAACTACTGGTCCGATTTGAAAAATTCTTTCAGGGTTTAGATAGCCCATTTATCGAGGAAGGCTATAGGCTATATATCATCACGCTAAGACTAATAGGAGCGGAGCACCAATGAAGAATGTTTCAAAAACGGTGAAAATTTATTACTATTGAGAGACGCAGACGAAGTTGCGCGGGTCAGCTAGTGTAATATATAAAGGCCCGTGACGATCCTGTCGGCCGCTGCCACCCGCATTTAAAACCATTAATATCTTCTAATGAATTGTAAAGAGCGATTTTATTCGACATTAAATACACAACGTGTCTAACGTATACATATTTAATTGGATAAGGAATAATAATGTATTGTTTAAAATAGCTTCGTAAATAATCCATTTTTTTGTGTAATATTTAAAAGATAAAAATGGTTATGCGGACTTTTTAGTAGATCTTTTTAAGATATACAATTCCGTAGTACATTATTTGGTTTATCTCGTAAGGTTTAGCCAGCGGTTGCAATGTAAGCGTACAAAAACATATTTTCTTATACTTAGGATCAGAACAAAATTTTTATTATAATTTATACCTATGTTGGAAACAATCTTTCATTTCTAACTTATATTAAACCTAGATTACATTTAAGGAAAGTTATTTCTGATATTTAATACATGAAATGTGTGCCCATCTAGTTTACTAATTATTTACGGTTGAAAACATCGTTTGATTAGCCTTTATGTATTACACAATATTGTGAAATACTACTTAGATTTGTTACTGTTTTTAAGTATCTTATTATTTTTTAATTGTTAAACCAAATATTTAAGGTCAATGATTTGGCAACATTGTAGTGTGACGTCACAACTTATTATTTGATACAACTACAGATTTTTTGACGTTTAATAAATAATCAATGATTTAAATTAGCAGTTTAATATCGTATTCTATAGTAAGTGTAAGTGAAAATTACACAGCGTACAGCTGCTTTATACTTACAGATATATTTTAGAAATAATTTGTCACATCCTGCACACGCCCGTCTGATTAGAAGGTGCCAGAGAGCCTTCCTTTTAGAGTTAATTTAGCATCAGGATCGTTAATTATCGGCCATTTTTATGCGAATAAATCCAATATTTCCAAAAAAACACCGAATTGTGGAACTGTCAATGTCAATTTGATTATAACGTTTTGTGCACAGTAAGTCCTACCCGTCATGACATACGGAGTCGAAACATGGACACTTACGGTACGGCTGGTCCACAAGTTCAAAGTCGCTTAACGTGCTATGGAAAGGGCTATGCTCGGCGTTTCTCTATGGATCGCATCAGGAATGAGGTGATCCGGGAGAGAATCAAGGTCACCGATATAGCCTACGGGATCAGTAAGCTGAAGTGGCAGTAGGCTGGCCATGTTAGCCGCAGAACCGACAACCGTTAGGGAAAACGAGTTCTTGAGTGGAGACCGCGTCTCGGCAAACGTAGTGCAGGACACCCACGGGCCAGGTGGAGTGACGATTTGCGCAAGATGGCTGGCAGGAGCCGGATGCGAGAAGCCCAAAATCGATCTAAGTGGCGTGCAATGCCTATGTCCAACAGTGGACTGCGAAAGGCTGATGATGATAAACTAGAGAGTAGATAGATAGGTTATTTCTAGAAATCTCTTTAATGTATTTACTTGTACTTATTGATAGGTTTTGTTTTTAAAAATAAGGTAGTAAGTTTTTTTGTAACAGACGCAAACGATCAGACGGTCTCCAATGGAAAGTGATGTCCGCCGTACATGGACGCTTAAAAAGATTGAATTAATATTACTATACAGTATATATAGTATATATATATACAGTATATAATTGAATTAATATTACTATATAGTAATATTTAATATTACTATACAGTATAACTCAATGAATGCAAATAAAAAGTTACAAATACGTTGCCGGCCTTCGAGGTGGAAAAACTTTTTTTTCTAGACATTTAGAGGTCGACGGCAATACTGCCAGCGACAATTTGTTTCACATTCTGCTTGTACGAGGCAAAAAGTTTCTTGAAAAACAGACAATGATGAAGTGCCAATAATCTGAATGAGGATGGATATTTTGCCGCGTAAAAGTATGTAAAGGGACCCTGAAATTTTCTACCAAAAATAAAAAGAAATGAATAAGAATTTTTAAAAAAATTTGCTACGCGGTCTTTTGATTTTAGGAATGCATTGTGTTAAGTAACAACTATAAACTCAAAACTGCATCTATTTGCTTTTGTTTTTATTATTTTAACCTTCCTACTAAATATTTGCATGCTATTTAATGGCGAAATGTCTCCTTTTCTCATTATTTAATCTACTTAACATTTTCTGTATCACATCTTATGCAAATAAACTTATTATTTTAGATTTCAAGCAAAAGTACGCCAATTATTATGTAACACGGAATGGAATATTAAAAACATCTAAACACTTCCAACAGCCCTTCTAACCGTTCGGTTTTTTTTTATTATAAAGGGAGCAAAGGAATATATCGGTCACCTGATGGTAAGCTATTATGAGGAGGTTGGGAAATATTCCAAATAGTTGGAAAACGCCTGATTAATATTTTTTTGCACTTCTTAATCGTTGTGATTGCTATGACTTATTTACTATTCGAATAATTAAACGTTCTAAACCGCATAGATATACTACAGGTGCACGATAAGCTAAGACCCGGGCTCTTTCCCCCCCTCCCGCAGTCTTGCCGTTCTCGCCTGTTTTGTGATGTTACGCCCACGAGAATAATCTTTAAGTAAGCTCTGCCTGAGCCTACCCTGGAGAAGACCTCAAGACTGTTAATAGTCGTAATACTTATATTTTACTTATGTGACAAGTTATCAAAAATTAAACTTTGTTCTGCGTGTGTTAGTTCAATTTGTATCAGTAAATCATTTACAGTCTAACAAAACGACATAAATAATTTATTATTGTTAGTCATATTAAACATTTCTACAATTTTAAACACATTCTTATGCATATTTCGTCACAATCAGAAGGCCAATTTTCGTTATAAAAGTTCGGTCCAATCAACTCTCGATCTCAAACTGTAATAAAAGATATTTTCGTAGTAAAGTATTACACATCCAACGTTGACTGTAATGTGATTATATCGTATAGTGAAAAAAAAAAAAAATAGATAGGTAATCTGCTAGTCTTAGTAATACTTTACTATTTTACTACGAAAATAACTTTTTTGACAGTTGCGAGATCGAGTGTTTTGTCATATTTGCATGATACCTATGCCTAAAAACCAGTTTAGTAGGACTACCAGGTAGCTATCTACATAAGGAATAACTTAGGCTATTTTCTTCTGAGAAAAACCCTTCAAAAGTTTGCCCGGTCCGGGCACCGAACCCACTAAGCCAGCTCTTTTCAAATTCCACGCAAACGAAGTCGCGGGTACCCTAGCTGGTTATTAATAAAATTCGGATCTCAGTAGTTATTTTAGATAAAATTAGAGCAAATTACAATAAAATATGTGTAGTACCGTTTTCAAACTCACTTTAAATACTCTTTATTAAAATTAATAAAAAAACGTTACTAATTTTTCAGAACTACTTTTAAAAAGGTGAGCAAGGTCGTATATAAATTCTCTATCAAAATTGTATCCTTATGATGTCTAATGTCAACCACCACGCAGACAAAATTAATATAAATAACGTTCTACAAATTAACTAATCGCAAATTAATCGATTCATTTTCTTTCACTTCACATTACTTAATATGTAAATTGTAAACTAATGATAAATAATTATGTAGGTATTGATTACGTTACGTCGCCACAGATTCCTGCGTTGCCTGTAATGATTATGAAATACGCATATTAAGTTATTTTTAGCAAATACAATTAGTCTGACTTTGTGTTCTAAGGCGAGAAGTTCAATAATACAACAAACGAACTGTTTCGATAAATACCGATAAAAATTCATAATTATGTCAAAGTTCAAGCGATACAATAAAAAAAGTTATAAAATGGCGCTGATTCTGTTCATTTTTTGTGTCATCGCGTTGTGCAAAGGTAACAAATTAAAAGGCCTTACACTAGAGCAAGTGCTAGTACTTAGTCGTCATAATATTCGAACACCTCTGACTACAAATTTGGATATTTATTCGCCTAATAAATGGCCGAAATTTAACGAGACTGATGCGAATTTAACTCAAAGAGGTGTTTTGATGGAGAGTTTTATGGCTGAATACTTTGCAGAATGGTTAGCAAGTGAAGACTTCATAAAAGGATGTCCAGGACAAGAGGAGGTACTTATTTATCCTAATACATTATCTCGAACGAGGGGCACAGCTAAATCGTTTGCAGACGCTGCGTTTCCATCTTGCAGTATCTATCAAGACAAACACTCTCAAGACAATAGAGATGTCTTCGATCCGCTTTTCCATTCGCTATTTCAAAACACTTCAGAAAACTTCATAGAGCAAATTAAAAACGAAATGAAAAATACACTAAACGAGGTCGATTTAACAGAATCGTATTTAGAACTCAACAGAATATTGGATATAAAAAATTCAGATATTTGCAAACAAAAAAATGTATGTGACCTTAGCAAAAATAGTACGCAAATCGTTTATGAAGAAGGCAAAGAGCCTGAGGTGCAGGGTCCTTTACTAATTGGCAATCAGGTTATTGATACTTTTATAATGAGTTTTTATGAAGGGTTTCCTCTTGAAAATGTTGCTTGGGGCAAAGTAACGTCTGAAGACCAATGGGAAATCCTGACGAGGATTATCAAGCATAATATAAACGTACGCCTTGGCCCCTTAGCATCGAAGGATATTGGCAAGCCACTGCTGAAATACATGTTCAATATATTCAAAAGTAGGAATCCTAAGTTTACAATGATTGTGGGACACGATACTAATATCTGTGTAATTTTAAAAGCTTTAGATTTTAAAAACGTTAATGTTGTAAATCAGTACGAACCGTATCCGATTGGCGGGAAACTAGTGTTCCAAAAGTGGTCAAATGGCGCTGACAGGTTTTTGAAAGTGGAATATGTATATCCAACCTTTTCTCAGTTGAGGAATAGTGAAAAATTGTCTTTGACACACCCACCGCAAAAGGTTTTACTCGAATTGAAAGACTGCAAAATTAATGATAGTGGATTTTGTCCTTGGGATGATTTCATTAAATTAAATGATTAGTGTTTTCTGTATTTTGTACAATGATACTGGCTTTAATACAAAAAGTTGTCGTCAGCGTGAAATATCGAAGGACGTTTTTTTATCTCAGTAAAAAAGGAATAAATCAATAACTGTGGTTTTTTTTTACAATATTGTACAAAATATTAGCAGTAAGGATAATTATATGATTGTAAATAATAGGCAGACAACTTAACTGTAACTAACCTGTTTACTAAACTATTGTTTCATTTTAATGATCCTCTAATTGTTCGCAAACTATGATGACGCAAAAAATAAATTATTAGAAACTTTGATTAATTTAAAACATTTTTAAATGTGAAACTGTAAGTTTCTCATTAGTATACACTTAAAATAAGTTATTGGGTCCAAGTGCAGATCTTCCTCTCTCGGTCTCTCGGTCTCTCGGTTCTTCTGCGAGATGACATCCTGTATGATGTATCCTGATGTATCCTGAGCGTATGGCGATGACTACCTCCCAGTCACTAGACCAATAGGCCCATTTAAATACGTAAACAGACACCGCGCTCAGCACACGCATTGCAAACGTCAGAGGCGCCAATTCCAGAAGATGAGAGAAGAAGGTGCGTGTACGTGGCACTGACAGCAACCTACCTACGTCAAGTCTGCTGGAATCCTTTTCAATCAGAACAAATAGAGTAGGATACAGCAAAGGAAATCCAGTGTATCCATTTGTACATTTATAATGTTTTGAACGGGATTTAGTACCTATTACGGATATTTCAGTTCTCAGGGTGCGAATGCACGATTCGCGTGCGCGCTATTGCTTCTTAGTTCCTCCCCGCGCGCCTCAAGCCCCCGCTAAGTTGCTTTCTAGTCACCGGAGGCTAAACACGTGTTTTCATGAAGTGGAAAGATGACAATTGTTTACTATTAATTGAAACAAATAAAAGATTACCTATTTTGTGGGAAATATCCCTATTAGTATAGAAAGAACCTAAAAAAGGACTCATGGAAAGAAATAGCTTAAATAATGGGAGGCAACGACGAACAATGCCGTACCAAACTATTAAGTATTTTACTAAAGGCGGGTAGCACGTCTGATCCTACAAATTATAGGCCTATTTCAGTGTTACCTACTTTCAGTAAAAATCGCTTTTGCGGCGATTCGTTTCTGTTACAAACTTTTGTAGCAAGACATGACTTTTTAAGATAATATTATAATTTAAGGTTAAAATGCTATTTTATGGCATGGCAAAAAAATATATTCTAAGTGAAATTCTGCCATCTTTATAGTATGCCAAGTGAAATTGTACCAAATAATCGTCTGCCTTTATAATATAATATGCTTTTGTAAATTCTGACATATAAACATTCGGCCGCACATAATTATACTCAATATTTTTTATGCCTTAAACATATTCGTTTAAAGAAGTGTTCCACGGCCCGCTCAAGTGTCCTGCAGGCGGTAGTGTCGTGTCCTGGGTTGTTGATCCTGACTATATCGGTTAGGTTATACAATGGCTGGGGCTCGTATGCCGTCTGTATGAACGCACCGACTCAATACTATGGTCCTTTCTCCAAAAGGCAAACCCAGACCATAGCTATACTGCACTCACATAGTTATCTTTAACATTGTACACGGACTTAAAAAAAGACACCTCTGTGGTTTGTTTCGGCCTTTCTTCCCAGAGCAGACTTGTAAAAATATCTGAAAAGATTTACTTGCAGATATAAATATCATTTTATCATTTAATTTAATTTTATTTCATATCTTCTTTTAGAAGAGAGAAAGCAGAGTGAAAAAAATATTTTATAAATAAGATCACACACTTATTAATTTTCTTTATTTTAGGTGCATCCTTATAGTGGCATAAGTTATATAGTGATTTCTAGTTTATTATACGAGTAGTGAGTGTTTGTAAATACAGTGAAATAAAGTAATTAACCGACAACTTTTGTTTATTACATACCTCGCTCGTAACAATATTACTGTAGTCCCAGACTACCGTTCCTATCGTTACGTTTTTTTATTTTCTAAAAACTTTCAGAAAAATAAATTATTTTTATGTTGTGACGGGTTTGTGTTTGGGTATTTCTGTGTGCTGATGCATAGAGAATACATAGTGTCGCCACCCCCTTTTTCCTGTACGAAAATCCTCTCGAAAAGTACCTACTGGTAGTTATGTCGAACTCGAACCGCCTAAAAACCAGTAGCCGGGGAACCAGGTGTACCCTATTAAGGAAATCCCTGGTACCTGTGTTACCACCCCTATTCATCCCATGGGTGTTGTAGGAGCCGACTAAGGATGCAAACTACGCAGGACACCAGCACTACGCACTACTAAGAGAAGAAAAACTTGAAACAAGCCCTATGCCAACTCGTCTGGCCAGCGTGATATATTAGCCAAAATCTCCTTTCTAAAGAGAGGCCTATGTCCACCAGTCAACCATTATAAGCTGTGTATTATGATGATGAATACCATAAACTAGATAACCTAAAACAATAAGCAATAAGCAAATTCTATTACGAGGCCCTTCCCTCTTAATAGAATATGCTACAAGCCTCGCGCTGGCTTAATCCGGCAATGGGAGCGGGCCAATAAATATTTCATCTTTATATTATAAAAGTGTCTTATCATAATAATAGTATAAACAACTACTCTACACTGACACCACATTATTTGTAGTAGTACCTACATTGCACCCGTGCAAAGCCGGGACGGACCGCTAATTGAATGAAAGCAAGTAGAAAAAGCGTTTTCTGTAATGAACAAGTTGTGGACAACTGATAAACCCAGCTACAGTTTTCGGTTCTTATGGTGATGTTGATAACAAAGAAAAAATTAAAAAAAAACGAGTAAACCATTTTATTCTTTCCTAAAACCCTTAGGAGAGCTCTGGGGTATACTGTATGTTGCTTCAGTTACAGAAACCTAAAGCACTTTTCCTTCTAAAGTTAGAGTGGTATCATAATTTAACAGCTTGCTACATTGTTATTATCAAAAGACATGCTTACGTTATGCAAATATCCACTCTTGAATGAATTTAGTTAAATTTCTTTTACTTACTTAACGCAACAGGAAATTTAATAGGCATTATAAATTAACAAAAACCAAGGCAATAATAGCACTTTATAAGACGCTGGTAATTATTATTGTACAACGACAAAAAATCGTAACCGCGAAATTGCCAGTGATATTGTAGGAATGTACACCGAAAATTAGCCTAAATAATAATATCCATTACAATCTTTACAATGCATACCTACTACTAACCATACTACTACATGGTCGACCGTAATTCATGAAGGTTTAATGTTCTGTTTAATTTCATTGACCGATAAAGGCATAGTGTGATAACAATACACTCAACTCACACAATAACATACAAATATTTTTACGAAGGTATTATTTACAAACAAAAACATTTAAACGAACATTTAAAAAGCTCGCTTTCTTTGATTCTGCACATTTCACGATAACGTGTTTTGTAAACAACCAGTTTAATTTTAAACTGTTTAATTTCTTTGTATGAAATATGGTCCTGTCTTTTAATATTAAAACTCAAACACTATTCAAATATAATATTTCATACATCCTTCCTATCAAAATACAGTCATTAAAAAAACCATAATTTTCAGACCATTAAGCTATCTTCGTAAAAATCAATTGTCAGTTTGAGCCTTGTTTGGCTTAGGGATGTTCCTATATGAGAAAAAAGTAACGATTTAATATTTGACAGGAAAAACAAACGATTTAAACGCAAGACCAGTAGCTATCCATAAATTACTTCACTTCTCAAAGTTTGGGAGAAGTGGTGGTTCAACGAAGTATAACACAAAACGTTAATAATAAAAAAGCATTAAACTTTAAAAAAAATCTATTTAAATTTGTTTGATGTAACTTGTGACAATTTGTTATGGGTATTGGATGCATTTGGCGATGGGGGTGGGTGAATAATAATTGTGTGATGTACATAATTCTCAGATGTATGTGTCGTGGCATTATTGTTAAATAACCGAGGTTTTAGCATAAATTACTCTATACAGGTAAAACATTTTCTTGTTTGAAATAAGTTAGAAATAAAATTACTACTACTTTCTCCACAAAAGAGACAGTGTGGATTGCACAAGTGCGGGTCCGTATTCATTACGTTCAGTACATTCGTACTATTGAAGCTACTAGGTAATAAAACATGTTGAATTTTTTTACATTTTTCATAATATTTTTACGCACACACATAAACACGAGAATTATAGTTAAAAAATGTGTTAAAAATGGAAGGAAGGAAAGAAAACAATTGTTTTGGGACAATATATAGAAATGAACCTAAATTCGTTTATAATTTTCCCAATATGTTTATTGCATTCCACAATGTTTGCTTAGATGGTAACTTATAAATATAAGATCAGATCATTATGGACCTTGTCGGGCACAGCAATAGATGAAAGAGGAAGAGATATTCCAAATTATTTATGTACCTAATTTATTGGTTGTGATTTCCTTTAACTAGAGTCATTTTTGTCATTCAAATATTCGCTGATGCTGAAATAACTTTTGCGTAGAAGTAGTGTTTTAATTTATTTATGAATTCATTCCTAATTTACTTATTATTAATCTTTAAAACACTTATCAATCTTCTAGTTATTTATTATACAAGGATTTGATACATCTCATTGAATATTAGGTATCGGTTTAATAGATAATAATATTATGTGCACCGTGTCACAGCAATACGATTGTGAAACAATATGTCAATTGTCATTCTGTTATTGAACTTTGCCGTTCTCTTTTGTTTTTAATTCTTTTTTTTTTTATCAATCAATACACATGCATATTTTGATAAAATATGAATAAACCCCACAGGAAAGTTCAACTCGGGAATAAGATCGCGTTCAATTTTTGTTATGAAAATGGATGAATCTCGGTGCATTTTAGATTGTAAGTATGACCTCTAAATGTTATACTTTGGTATATACCGATGGAGATTGCATTATGTCTATATTATATAATTTGACTTTCCCTTACGCAGTAATCTTGTTGATTATTTTTTTCTATTTTTAAATTAGTGTACCATATCTGATAAGCATACCTAGACATTGTTTTCATTGTGTTGTGTTAGTTTATCAGTTGAATACTTAGTAAAATGTCTTCAAGCATTATTTTAATATTTTTATTAACTTTTCAAGTTTGTTCTTGCCAAAATTTAAAAATAGAACAAGTGCTTATACTGAGCAGGCATAATGTTAGAACTCCTTTGTCTCAAAACCTACATGAATTCACTCCAAAGCCTTGGCCAAATTGGAAAGAAAAAAGTGGATATTTAACAGCTAAAGGTGCACTCTTAGAAGGTTTTATGGGTGAGTTTTTCTCTTCTTGGCTCATTCAAGAAGGTGTTTTGGCCAAGAAATGTCCAGATGAAAAATCTTTTTATGTATATGCCAATATTGCACAGAGAACAATGGCGTCCGCAGATGCTTTTATTAGTAAAGCATTCCCTCTGTGTAATATAACAATACACCATACTACTGCTGCCCAAAAGGATCCAATATTCAATCCTGTAATACATAATGCTTCAAAAACATTTAAAATTGAGGCTGTTGAACAAATGCAGACGTTATTAAATTCATTCCATTTCCAGACTTCAGAAGAATGTTTAGAAAATATCTTAGATTACAAAGCGTCAAACTACTGCCTGACTAAGCAAAAATGTGATTTAGTCAATGACAAAAACAAAATATTTGTGAATGTTGGCTTCAAACCAAATGTAGAAGGCCCTCTCAAAGTATCAAAGTCAGTTATAGACTCTTTTATAATGGAGAATTATGAAGGTTTACCGATTGATGAAGTAGCGTGGGGCAGGCTTAAAACGAATGACGATTGGAACCTTATAATGGAATTAAGCAAAGGCTACCACAATGTGATTTTTAATACAAGTATTGTTGCTGAAGACTTAGCTCGACCGTTGCTGACTTTTATCAAAGATTTGCTTATAAACAGACAGTATAAAGTTACTCTACTCATGGGCCACGATGCAAATATATATACTGTTTTAAAAAGTTTGCGAGTTAAACCGTATGTGCTTAATGATCAGTATGAAAAAGCGCCCGCAGGTGGCAAGATTGTATTCCAGAAATGGATGGATAATATTTCTAGTGAGCGTTACCTGAGAATTGATTATGTATATCAAACCACAAAGCAAATGAGAGAGGGAAAGAGTTTGTCTATGATTAATCCGCCTGACTTTATGCTGTTGGAGTTGGAAGGATGTGAAATAGATGCAAACGGTTTCTGTCCGTGGAATGACTTTGTGAATATATTAAATTCCATTATAGGATAGGTGTAAAAAATATTTTCTCTATATAGACTACTCAATGCCCAGCTGTGGACTTAACCAGAATGTTTAATTAAGATATCAGTGAAAATTCAGGAAATATTATCGTCTAACAAAGATTATTGCCACTGCCACAGAGTGAATTGTGTGTCACAGTTATGCAGAGAACTGTAAGAGCTACACTTTTGTAGGGACGGGAGGGGTGCGGGGGAACTGGGAGGCACATTCAGAGCACGGCACGACTATGCCTCTTGTGACGCAATGTGAGTTATTCATGGGTGGCGGTAGACACTTAACATTAGGTGCCAAACCATGTATGTGTGTATATACCAAACTGTGTATTTTCAATCAAATACGTGAAGTATCCATACTTATAAATGTAAAAGTGACTTTGTTTGTTTGTTGCACACTTTCACGACTTAACCACTAAACCGATTTTAGAACAAAAAAAACTCACTTTCACATTTATAATATACTAGCGATCCGCTCATGGCTTCGTACGGCTGCAATGTAGATACTACAACTGATAATGTGATGTCAGTGCGGAGTAATTAATCATATTTATTATAATAAGACTGCTACGACAGGACATCTTAATATACAATATTTATAGGGGGGCTCCGCTCCTGCTGGCCGCTGCCACCCGAGACGCACGTACGGCACGATGCGGCGCTTCGTAAATTACCACTTACACCAATTAACGACCATACGCATGGTCGTTAAACGGCAGTCAGTACTTATCATCATCAACAGCCTCTTCTAGGCCTCTCCTTAGAAAGGAGGTTTTGGCCTTCTATACCACGCTGGCCAGACGGGTTTGTTTCAAGTTTATCTTCTCTTTGCAGTTCTGTTGTCCTGCGTAGTTAGCTCTCTTAGTTGGCACTTACGAGACCCATGAGATGAATAAGGGTGGTGGCACTTCGTATTCTTAATCCGTCACCACACGGACAGTTCTCTAGGATCCTCAGCAGCAGTGAACTATTAAAGGCTTTTGATAAATGGATGGGGAGTGTAAACCCTAGCTCGAGTAGGCCAGAATCGCACTCATAACCCGAATTGGCTATAAGTAAAAAGTCTAAGCTCTCTTCCTCTAAGGACTGTAAGTGGTACTACCATGGGAGAGTCATGCTTTGGCACAAATGAGCCGGTTCGACCGGAGTGGAAAAGGTGTTAAGCAAATCTTTCGTTGCCGTTCGCTGAGTGAGTGAGGTTACCGGAGGTCAAACTCGGATTCAACCTTAGTCTGGTCTGGTACCTTATAGGCCTGCAACGCTTTTTGAGTTGACTGTTAGTGACCACTTTGAGTTTTGAGTTGCAGGTGTCTATGCTAAAAAAATACTCGTATTTTAACTTGGTGATAGATATTATACATAAACTAACAATTATTGTAACACTAAGAATAAAAATACTCGTATCTATCTTAATATAAAATAAATGTTTCTTAATATTTTATGATTATTCATCCGATAATCCTGCACGGATGGTGTAGTGCGGTCACCTCGCCGCTTCCTACTGCGCTGAGTGTTGTGGATCCGATCCCCACATGGGACGACACTTTCTGCGATTCACAAAATGTTGTTTTGAGTCTGGGTGTTCTTTGTGTCCGTTTAATGTATGTTTGCAAAGTCCCCTGCGACACAGGATATATTCCTAGTGCGGGAGTTGTCATTTAATTTTTAAAAAACTTATCTGCTGAGATTTTCTTTACTTCACTTTATATGGGTCCTTTTATCCAGAAGAAAATCTGAAGAGTTTGAAAAAAAAACTACTACGTGAGCAGATGGCAATAGCAAAAAAAAAATGTCAGAGTTTTATTAATCTTATATATAAAATTCTCGTGTCACAATGTTCGTTCCCGTACTCCTCCGAAACGGTTTGACCGATTCTCATGAAATTTTGTGTGCACATCGGGTAGGTCTGAGAATCGGAATGGTAAGGGTGACCCATCCCTAATTTTTTTTTGGTTTTGCAATACAACGTTTGCCGGGTCAGCTAGTTTTATAAATAAATATTTTATTTTTGTTACATCCAGATATATTCATATAGTACGAGATATACTTATGTTACAAATACTAGATATTATTAGATTAGATACTTATACAGTGATTATAATCGGTATTTTTGTATGGAGATTATGTACTTATTGGTATGTTTTTACTACTTTTGGTATTTACTTATTGGCTTTAAGTTTAAGCTAGTCATTATTAAACAATTGTTTTATTTCTTCTTTTTGTATTTTGTTTTTGCAAATTAAAACCATTAAACAAAATTAAATTGACTTTTTCTTTACAATACAGTCGGTATTGTAACTTAGGGTGTATTATTGACGTCTGGATGAATACTTTTGTGATGAGCACGATCATATGGTCTGTGTCTGGGTGTAATTTGTCTATAATATGTGTATTTAGATATATATATATATATATATAGGCATAATATCATCAGCAGTCTGGTTACCATAGCACAGGTACTGCCTAGTTTCGGTGTCATATATATAATATTTCTGGTGTAATATTTTCTCGACTAGTGCAGCATAGTTCAGTCTAATGAAGAATGAGATCCAATAGCATATAATGAGATAATAATAGTAAGTATTATTGCGAAAGTTTGAATTTATGTTTGTAACTCAATTATACCAAAACGGCTGAACGGATCTGAGTGAAATTTGGCACAGAGATAGATTATAAAATCGATTGACAAAATTGGCGTTAAAGCGAGCGAAGTCGCAAGCAAAAGCAAGGTAAATATTTTTCAACCTTATTTTAGAGTATTAAATAAATTTAGATGCTTTTAACTTCTATGGGTACTTCAAGTAGTAGTAGTAGTACTGCACGGATGGCGTAGTGGTAAAATGTATGTTTGTAAAGTCCCCCGCGACACCGCGACACAGGATATTATACATATTCCTAATGCATGAGTTATCTTTTTTTTTTTAAAAAGTTCAAATTATCATTAACATTTAGCAATCAATGACCTTGAATTGGCTGGTTTGCGCCCACACGAAACGATTCGATTGGCAACCTACTCAAATTATGCGTCTTACGCACAATTTGAGTAGGTTGCCAAAATTGTACCCATGTGGAAAACGTTTTATGCTTCATCAGTTTTATTCACGGCGAACTATATACTTGTTATAGTTGTTATGTATTTACTACCCGTTATGAGGTTAGGTTTAGGTTTTCTAATATATACCTGTAAAGTATTCTTCACAGTCGCCCCTAATAACCGAGGGTCGAGGTCGTTAGGTGTTTTTTTGCCTGCATCAGCTTTTGTCAATCGCATCTCTGACCGTTATCGAAACTTGGTGGCAGACGTGTCTTTTTTCTGGCCTCCATTAGGTTCATTGGCATCGATATTTTGTGTTCAAGTCATTTTTCAACAATCTTTTATTTATTTTTTGTGCTTTGTATTTGCAAATTATAATTTTACGGAAAAATATTGACTTTTCGTTAGCCTATAAATATATATTTTGTTATGCGTTTGCGTCATTAGCCGCAACATAATAATCTTTGAAAAAATAATTAGCAACGGTGAATTTAATTTCTGCATGAGGTGAATGACGCGGATTACTAAAAAATGATGAAGAACGAATGTTTAACCACGTCTGGACAAACAATAGTAGTTGTATTTGAACCATTAGGTTCAGTAGGTTGCTGGTCGGTCTCTCGACCGTTTACATTCAATATTACCAACTGTGTGCGCAATAACTCAGTAGATAGTAAAAAAAGGCAAGAAAGTGGACTGTATAAAATGATTTACTAATTTATGTAACAAAACTTATTATGTGCGTCTTGATGTGTTCGTAGTTAAATGTATAATGAAAGTTGAAAAGTGGAGTGAGAGGTTTTGAGCTCAAGATAGCCTCAATCTGAACTAAAAGATTCCCATCTCTTCGAAGGTCAAATTTGTCAAGCCTAAAATGCGTCTGAGGTGATGTTTGACAGACTTAACTGCAGATTCCCGTAGTCCGCCGAAATGTGGTGTACGCAGGTATGAAGGAAAAGTTGATACCAGGATCAATTATGCTAAAATTCAGATCATTTGAAAGAGGCTTGGCCAACTCGTTGTAAGCACCGACAAATGTTGTGCCGTTATCAGAAAACACGTTACGTGGTTTCCCCCACAAAAATACATGCACCATATGCCTTTTCAGACGTGTAGCTGAAGAGCAGACGCTGATTCACACGTGACCCAACGAGATATCTTGAGTTTATTTAAAAAAGGCAAGAGAGTTGATGAAGTCATTCCAAAATGTTTGATTCTCATCAGGAACAGGCTCATTCCAAGAACATCTTGCAAGCCATAAATGTTACTTTAGCATCTTGGCCTCCACAATACAAGGAACAACCAAACCAATATTTCAAAAATTTGCTGTCAGAAATTTGGGATATGACTGATAAGACGTTTGCTGATTGTATCACCTGACGCAAGGTTTATGGAGAGGGAGAACGTATCATTGGAGCACTCCCAGTTTAGTCCGAGAGTCTTAGACGTTACATTATTACTAAGATTTACAAAGTTCGAACCAACTTGATGTTTGGAAAGAGCTTGTAATAATTCGGTTGTTAGATTGCCATTTACGGAGGTTATATCTTGCAGACTCAAGAACGGCGATGACCTTTTGGCATTTGCTCCACGTCTTTTCAACAGTTGAACCACCAGATAGGTAATCGTCCAAATAGAAGTCATTCTCTATGGTAGAACAAATTGAGGAGTCATCACACTCCTGGGCGAGTTGTTTCAAACACGTAGGGGCAAAAAAATTGGCAAAAGCAGTACCATAAGTACCACTATGTTTAAAGTATAGGTTTTTAACGTTTGTGTTGGCTCTGATCTCCAAATATTTTTTTGAAGAGGTCTATAAATATCATTTACGCTATTATAAATCTTTTCGATGTCTGCATTTAGGTACAACAATCATATGTTGGCGAAATCAGAGTAAAATGGACAATAAATCAGTAATAATCTGTATGTCATTGAAGGATGTACCCGAAGTTGGACGAGCA